TAAAATCACAGGAAAAAATTACAATTTTGGCTAAGAAAAAAAAACGTAATTTATTTATAGTGGCTGGTAAAGAGATCTATTTCTGTCAGTTAATACATGAGTTTATGTGTCACTGTCCGCTTTGTTTACAATAGAAATTCATAAATCAATTCAATGTTTTAAAGACGTTTTCTAATAATGCTATGGTCATATATTCAATATATTTCATAGTTAGGGAATCCTAGTATCCTATAAGACCCAATTTTATGTGAAGAAAGCCTTAAAAAAGGATGTTTTTAAAGTTTGTGCCAAATCATAAACAAACCATGGTATACAAAATTAGAATAAAGCCATAAAAACGCTTTTTAACAATGTGACAGTCACATATTTTTTAGGGAGTCCTTGTATCCCATAAGACCTGACTTTATGGGAAAAAAGTCTCAAATTGATATTAAAATTTGAATTAAGTGTTTCTTGAATTCTCAATTCACATATGAAGCTAGGATTTTTTGGGGTTTGCCTACCCAGGTTTTATATTTAACAACAACAACAACAACACATCTTTTAAATGAAACATAAAAAAGGTTATTTTCTGAAGGAAATGTAGAAGCAGAATGTTGAAATAACATTTAGATATTCTTTTCAGAAATATAAAATAACAATAAAATGTTCAATTTTCCTTGCAGTGAAATTTGTTTTATCAAGTAATAAAGTGTTTGTAGTGCATTGTGAAATGTGTGGACAGACTTACTTTATGACATTCAGAAAGACTTAGTCAGCAGCTGCTGGTTAATCCTTTCTATTGTGTGCATAGGCAAGGCCTTAGTCTGCTGCTGGTTTTTGTCTCTTCCATTGTGAGCATCTATGTCTGTATGCATGTGTAGATCACACTGGTCTCCAAAATTGTTTAGAACCTTGAGAAGCAGTAGGCTTCTATTTTTATAACCATAAAAGAGATCAAAATCTAATTTCACATAAAGGTGTGAACTTTTTGAATGCATGGTTTTCATTAGTTAGAAAATAATTTCACACTGGCTCATGAAAATATTTTTTTCAAAATTGCAGGACTGGTGAAATTGTTATTTTTTAAACAGTTCAAAACCAATATATATAAAAATTTTATTCTTAAACTATTGATTACATTATATGATAATTTATTTTTAAACATAAATTAAATACTAATTTCTTGATTATTGCACTGCTGGTATTCCATGTTTCTTTAATTTATTTTTTTTAATTTCTTACACCCTTTTAAATCAGGGATGATAGTGTTGGTATTCATTTACCCAGGTTTTTGTTTTTATCTGAGTGACAGGATTACAAATATTTGACAAAAACAATACATCTTTTAAATGAAACATAAAAAGGTTATTTTCTGAAGAAAAGTAGAAGCCGAACATCAGTTGAAATGACATTTAGATATTCTTTTTTTAAATTTATCGATTTACTTTGAAGCACATCTTTAGGGCAAATATTAAATTTTTAAGAGATTTTTAAGTTTGTTATTTACATATTTCATCTATGATGGCAATTCAATGAGTGACAACTGAATGTGCCAATATTTTAAAAATGCCTCAGAACTTTATTTATATACAAAAATTTATTTTTGTTTTAATATGGATTGGCTTTAGGCTACTATCTTTCAAATAAATTCAAAATTTAACTTCAAAGAAGACATTTAAATTATTTAAAATACATTTAGAAATCCATGGCAATAACAAAGAATAACAAAATGAAAAATAAATATAACCCTGCTGGACAAACAGAAAAAGATTTGCTACTTGTTAGAAGTCCATTCAATATCAGATTTGAAAATAAAGTAAAAAAAAATCACCAATTACAATAATTTAAAGCATGAAATTTTGAAAGTTTGGGACTAGTAAAGAAAGTAATTACAATCATTGAAGTTAAGCAATGTTGTGCCTGGTCAGTATGTAGAGAGGTGACCACTTGGGAATATCAGATGCAGCAAGCTTGGTTGTGTGGGTGGTATAATGGCTTGGAATTGTTAATCAGAAACCTGAATTCCAATTCCAGTTGGGTTTGTTATATACACTTATATGCAAATAACCTTGGGAAAAGTGGGAATCCACATCTTCTCCCCACAGCTATGAGTTCCTAAATCATTATTATCTAAAAAAAATAAATTCTTACAATCTAAAAATATTTTCTGTCTTTACATAACCTGCAAAGGGCTGATAACTTGTCAAAAATGAATGAATCAATCAATCAAGGAAGCATCAGTCACCAAACTCAACTCTTTTTGGGGTTGTTATGTGAAAATTTCACTGCATGAAATAAAATAGTTTCTTCACAAATGCCAGAAAAGTAACTATAAGAATAGGATTTACAGTTACATCTACCTATTTCAGCAGTAAAACAATGGGACCTAACTGCCAATCTAGTAGCATGCTTAAATTCATGCAGTTGAGGCACCAAGGAAAAAAGCTTATTAGAACAATTGCCATGATAATATTTGTAAAAAAAGATACAGAGAAGCTACTTCATGGTAGTCAAAAAGTGACTGAAGTCAAGATGCTGTCAAGACTGATAACTGACCTTTTGGATTTTGTCAAAAACCTCATGATATGGACCAGATATGGCAGCAATATTAAATGTATAGACAAGTTGTAGATTTATAAATGTGCATGATGGATTCTGGTGAGAAGAATTATCTGACATGACACAGAGAACCAACTTTTCTAGTAGCAGACTTTGCAGCTATTCAGTATAATCATTACGTTTCATGCCAGTGGAAAATATGATACCAAGAAGGTACAATAAATTACTTTCCTGGAGGTTAGCATCAGCCATGCTAAGGAAAGTCAAAAATAGTTCTTTATGATGACTAAAAGATAGTAGTTTCATTTTGGAGGTGTTAAAATTTTAAAGCCATTTCTTGCTCCATTTAACCACTGATATGAGGTAATTTTTAAGATCAGCTGCCAGTTTTACTTTGTTGGTCCAATATTCAGCTGCCACTTTTACTTTATTGGTCAGACTTACTATTAAGACAGGAGTAAATAACTGTGACATCAGCAATATATACTGAGATGGAAGCTGATGGAATCAGAAATTTTGTTGATAAAAATAAGAAACACCATGAGTCCAAGGAGAGATCCCTGGGGGACCCCCACATTAATGTAAAATGATCTAGAAAAGTGGCAGTTCAACACCACCTTCATTACACTATTTGTTAAGAAAGATTGGATCAGGTCAATAGCTCTCGAGCATGTGAAGAAGACTAGCATGCTAAACCCTGTCAAACAACTTCAAGATATCTAAAGCCACAGCCAAAGCCTCATTATTCTTATCTAAAGCCTGATAAACAAATTCAGTTAATGCATCAGTGGTTTCATCTGAAGAAATGAAAGCCATATTGTTTATCTGAAAGAAATTTGTGTGAAGTAAGATGCTTTACCAATTCAGAGTTGATTAGAACCTTTAGTATGTTACCAAAAACAGATAAAAGACTAATAGGATGACAATTCAAAGGACAGGAACTACAGAATAGAATTTCCAACAAGCTGGAAAATAAGAAACAGCAAAGAATTTATTATAGAATTTGGAGAGAACAGGAGCCAGTTCAAGGATACATTTCTGCAAGACAATTGCAGGGATACTGTCAAGTCTGCATGCCATGTAGGGATCTAATTTGGTGATGATAGCATATCACTTAGTAGAAATTCTATTCTCAGTGGAGAATCAGGCAAAAATACTCCTGATGAGTTGAGAGTGAAGCTGGAAGAAGATTTACAAGCAAAGCAATCTGCCTCAGTTAATGACAATTATTCTAACTGATTGAGGGATTGAGGATTTACTATTGCTTAACATGCTTTTACAGAGCCACCAGTAATCATGAGAACCAAACTTGTGAGAGGTGTCGTATAACCTAGCTGATTCAAAATGCAACAAACATTTGCTTTACATAAACAGATTTGTATTTGAAAGAATTGTTAACCTGCCTTGATAATTTGAAGTGCACAAAAGATATTTTGTGCAAGGCCTATATTTGTATATTTATTTTTTTTTAAATCAATTCACCCCAACCAAAGTAATAATGCCACTCAGACGTAGGGGGCTACTGGGAGAGAGAGAGAATGTTAAAACTTTAGAAGGAATCGGGAACCCAATCCTGATCAGGAAACAAGAGATAAACTTCTACTTCTTATCAAAGACTGGAAAGGAGTGTGAACTGATTGATAGGTATATTGTGAGAAATAGTTTTGTCGTGGTAATAAATGTTTTTTATTTTTTCTCTGCAAATTTCCCATCAGAGTAGCAGCCTTGTATTTTTTACTTTGTCCCATTCAAATTACTCAAGATAAGAGATTTAATGCCCTCCTTTTCTCCCAATGCATTCTTTTTATTTTAGCTTGCTAAGAAACTAGTCCATACCCAGTACCCATTAAGTTATATATAAGTTTGGCATTGAAAAAAACACCAAAATTTAGCTCCATGAAAAAAACTGACGATAAAATAGCATTTCTGCTTTGTGTTTATAAATGAAAGACTTTAGAAAAAAACAGGATATTGAATTTAAATAATTATCAAAATATTATGATATGATATATATGATTATAAAAAAAAAATTAGTCCAAAATTGCCTTGATACTCATTCTTTAATTATGAAATTAAGAACAAAATTAAAATAACCTTCTAAATTGTTGTATAGAATTGTAAGTAAATAAATCTTTACAAATTGTACGTTTTTAAATTTATGACAGCTGAACTATTTTGTTCTAATTCTTCATCTATTCGGTACTATACGTTTTGTGCTTAATGATAAATTTAAAAAATGCCAAATCCCGACTTGACACAACAATATATTTGCTCATTTTGCCTGCTACAAAGCTACATTGACATAATTCTCGAAATGAAAGCGTAAAACCTGATAGATACGCAGAGTTACTTCCCTTCAATGTCAACTCTCCTGTAAAAACAAACACTTTCTATCTCTTTCGTGTTGTATTTGTCATAGCCATGTTGTTGTGATTTTCAATATTACTCAAGTATCAAATATGGGAAACCTGAAATATTTATTTTATTTTTGTCTGGTGGCTGTTGTCCTAACAGTTGTGACGGTGAGTATAGTGAATTTATTTTTTAGATTATATTTAAGTTGTTTAAAAAGAAAGTATAGAAATAAAGTCCCAGATTAAGTGGGAGTTGACATTTTTTTTGTTTTGGATGACGGTCGGCTAGTAGCACCTGACGCTTGTTTTTTTTATTATTATTCACAAATAAACTATTGTTTTATTTTGTATTCATTACCTAATTTTTTTCCTCTTTTTGTTCTAGTATAAACGAAGTTAAATGTTTAATGGTGTTTTTTTTCCCAGCATTTATTCATCGATAGTGACGTTTTTGTTTATAGTTTTCTAGCTTAAAATTCGTCAGGGAAGAAAAAATATCGAATATTTTTGTTTGAATGTTATTTTTAAATTTAAAATTAATTTTTTTCAATTTGACTTTTTTTTTCTATCTGTCTTTTTACCTTGACCCGTTATTACTTATTGTAATGTTTCTCTTTGTTATTTTAATTTTTTAAAAAAAAAAAAAAAAAAAAGGTTGTGCGTGACTATTTTTTTACGTTTGGAATTTTTAAAAATTATTTTCTTATTTAAAGTTTCTTTCCTTATTCCTTTTTTATTTATTTATTTTTTATTTAACGGTATAATAATCTTAGTATTAGCAATACTGAGTTTGCAATTATTTTTATTATCAATATATCTACTTATGATTTCAAAGTAAAATATGTTTTTAAAACCTGTCAGTTTTATCATCAATAAAAATTATCGTCATTGATTTTTTTTTTAAAAATAATTCGAAATTTTTTGTTTTGAATACCATCTCGTAGTGCTGGCTTAAAATTAAAAAAAGTCTGTCAGAATTCAGGACGGGAAGTTAGTCAAATTCAAATAAATGTCTTCATCTTTGTTATCATTCAAAATGTTTCGGCTGTTGTATCCTTCCGGGCTTCTTCAGGTATTTGTCGATCTGGGTAACCTTTCAGTGTATTTCGAACTGAATTTATTCGGATAGACAGACAGACATACAATTGACGCAAGCCGGAGGGCGCAACAAACAAGAAATAGAAAAAAAAACGCGTTACAAAAAAAAAGTTATTGGAACAAAAATTTAGGTACCTCCAAAAACAAACCCCACAACAAACAATACCTAATGTTTATAATAAATCACATTTACTTTTTAACGTGTAAAGCCCCCATAGAACAAACCGCCACTTTCTCGCTAAAAAAGGATGAAAAATGAAGAAAAACTGCCTAAACTTGATGAATGAAAACAAAGTTCTTTTTTATCGTCAAAAATAAAAGATCAAAGCATTTTTTATCAATTTTTTTTTTTTAATCATTTCTAGTACATTCTAAATTTTGGTTAAAAACCTTGTTTTTCTTACGTCAATGGTGACTCAAAGATTACTATGGGAAATTTAAATGTCTTTTTTTTTCCGGTAAAAAAGCACAGTTTGAAATTAAAACTAAAAATTTAATAAAAACTTCAATTATTCATTTTTTAAAAATTCAGATATCGTGTTTCTGTAGAGCGTAAAATCACTTAAGTTACAAATTAAGTTCTCTGTCATAGAAAATAATACACTTTTCTATAGATTTTCTATTTTCAATGATTAACTGTTAATAACTTTAAAAAGCAGTATGACTTGGGATCGTGGAGAATTCTTTTATGTGCTATCCTGTCAGGATGTGGGCATCATGACTCTTCACAACTTCCTGTTTCTTGTTGCTCTAAACATTGTTTAACTCTTTACCACCCTTCTTCATCCTCATTCTGCCAGTCTGTTATTCAGTTTCCCTCTGCTCCTCCTTCCTTAATTACTACTGTGAGTGTTAAATTTTCCAAACCCTCTTTCTCTTAATGTGTCCTAGAAATTGCAACTCTTTCTAAACAGCAGAGACGAGGTAGTGTAATCTCTAAAGTCACTATAGTGAGCCTGCACTTTTCAATGTTAACTTTGATACTTCTGCATTCAGAATAAATGTGGGGAAGTGCTTAGTTTATATATTTTCTGGAAAGGGCTCCAAAACAATGATCATCATCATAGCTGTGTCTTTTGTTTTTTTTTATTTTTATTTGTTGTTGAAGCAGGACCAGAATTGATCTTGGACAAAGCAAAGTTAGTCCTACCTGATGGAGGATCTCTGTCTACCTCTTCACATACACCTAAATATCCTGAGACTTGTCATAATTATGAGACAAGGTTTTTACAAGGCAGGATGTTCTTCCTGGTATCTAACTCACATTCATTGTAGTTCAAGTACACAGAGTGCTTTATTGAGATACTATGTCTAGGAAGGTTTCCTTTTCAGGTTTGAGACTCCATCCTAGCTTTATCTCTCTCTCTCTCTCTCTCTATATATATATATATATATATATATATATATATATATATATATATATATATATATGCACACATATATGTTGGGCATTGGCTCCTATAAGAAGCTCATTCATCCTTTGACAAGTTTTGTTTTTTGTCCTGTGGGGGTGACATGCCACTCTCCTAACCAGCAGAAAAGCTATAAGGGGAGCTGGTTTAGATGTCAACCACCTGTTCATGCAGCAGGTTGTACTGGGTTATATGTTACCAGTAGCCAGGTTAAGCCTGACCTGACTTGTGCATAAATAGGATGTCATCTCTTACTCATATAACAGTCTAACTTATTAGCTTAAAGTGATTTTAATCTAAATTAAATATTGGTTAAAAAAAAAAGGAAGTGCTTACCAAGTCACTCATTCTATCTAATGATTATAATACTATGTGGATTTCTCTTTATTGAAACAATCCAACAGCTGCTTATAATTACATATTCGTTATCTATATTCTTCCCTCCCCTACACAAAAAGGAAAAAGTCATTTCAACCATTTCATACATGTATTTAGGGTTCCTTATTAGAATAAAATTATGCATTTATTATTTTTAAAACATAACAATAACTTAATTTCTGTTGTAATTTCTGGGATGAGGAGTTATTATTTACATGTGGACTATTATCCTCATCTTTGTTATTGTTATTGTAACATTTTGGCTTTAGTGCTCTCTGACCTTCATCAGGCATATGTCAATCAGGGAACTCTGAAGTGAACCCTTTATTTAATCTACAAGGGTAGATTGTTCTGTTACCATTACCCATTTCTAGTGACATATGTTTAGTTCTTGTTTTAGTACTACATAATTACTGCTCACCTCTTTTGCACTGTGTTCAAGTATACATTTTCTGGCCCAGGGATTGAACTCCCAATTACTATGTCACCAAATTTATGAACTAACACTTTGAACCACTGGACTATAGCCCTGTAGTAAAGAATACCAAGGGTTTAGATCATGACTTTCTGATGGACAAGGATAGTTATGCTGAAAACTGATATTTGATGCTTGGCATATCGTGCCAAATGCAGATAATGATCAATTTAGTGTGTGAAATGAACTGAGTACATTTTAAATATCTTCCTGAGAACAACTTATATTTTTCAGATTTACAGTGTTTCAATTTATGGGAACTTATACTAAAAAAAGAGAAATATTGTCTTGTACATTTTTTTTTTTTTTTTTTTTTTTTGCTAGTGTTATTCAGTCAGGCAAAATATGTCAAAAATTTGTTAATTTGATTAAATTTTTATTATAGACCCCCCCTCCCCAATCCACATGATACTACTTTTTTTAAAAATAGTTTGTATTTTAACAATTTTCCAATGACTTTCCTAGCAAAAAAAAAAAAAAAAGTAGAAAAACAGCTATCCAAAACTGACCATCTAAAAATGAATGTTTAAACAGGTGTGAGTTTTTATAAACAAACAATAACAACTTTACAAATACTGGAATCAGGTCAAAGACCAGTTCTGAAAGACTGTTTTAAGACAAGATATAGCATATATCACTTGAGGAAATATTCTCAAAATGTCTACTTGTATGCATATATATATATATATATATATATATATATATATATATATATATATATATATATATTGGATTGATCAATCCAACCAAATATGTTAGCTCTATCTCTGATATTGAGTGTTTTCTAATAAGTACCGTATATAATATATAAATAATTATATATATATATATATATATATAACTGATAATTTAAGCTGCTACTTAACATCAGGAAGAGATAGTTGAAATTTCTAGGGCACATAATAAGAAAAAAGGGTTTGAAAAATTTGATACTCACAGGACATATTGAAGGCAAGAGGGACAGAGGGAAGCACTGCATAACTTATCAAGCAAACTTGAGTAAATGAATGGTGGAACAAGGTTTTTAAGAGATGACAAAAATACAAAATTTATTAAGAGCTACAAAGGATAGGAAATTGTGGAGAACCATGATCGCCAATGTCATGAAAGGACCTGGCACATATAACAAAAGAAAAAATGAGAAGAAAGCTCCTTTTTAAAAAAAAAAAAAAATGGTTATCGGTTTTCAAATGTAGTCACTATGTTTAGTTGGAACTGGACTTGGTAATCCTGAACAGTAGTCACTTCTGATATCCAACCAATTTATAAATTAACAAGCTTCAAAGGTGCATTCCAAACAGCTTAGGAAACAGAAATATTAATTTTGAAGAAATAACTTTGAATTCCTAAATTCACTCTTTCAAAACCTCACTTTAACTCTGATTTGGGCTTTGTCTAATTCTGTCCGATTTAAGCCGAAATTCCAATTCAGTCTGAAAATTGAGTTCTCCAAATCACAATCTCCATGGAACTTCAATTAAGTTGAGTTCTTCAAATCTTAAACTCTGCAGAACTTCAAAAGTCCAGGTCTCAAAACCTCTCGGCTTAACTCTGATTCCTTGGCATTTTGAAGAAATAAAATCGATGTCCTCAATTCACAAAGTTTTGGAGATATTTTAAACTGAATTTAAAACAAAAATGTTTAAATTCATAAAGGTTTTGTGTTACTTGAAACTCAATATAAATTGAAAACTTTTAAAATCACTAATATTTTTCAGTTATTTTAAAATTTGAATTTTTAACTGTTCCTTCCTCATCTGAACACAAATCCCAATGCTTGATGTTCAAGCACCAGATGAAAGGCA